CTTCCAGAACACGGCCACACAGCCCGGAAGACCCACACCAGCCATTCCATCTTACACTTTCCCCTCTGTCTTTAACCCTTTCTAATCCCAGTTCAGTCTTTTCTTCTTTAGGCAAAAACTCCATATAAGGCTTCCAGTCTTTCAAAAAAGTCTTTGTTTTTCCCTGACAAAACTGGGCAGCTTAGCCAGTTCCGTGACCTCTGTCAATTTTATAATTCAATCTACCTTGGGTATTTCATTATTCCATCTTCATGTGTACAATAAATTTGCTGCAGTTACCATATACAGTTTCCCATATTTCTTTTCCAGTTCAGCATCCATTTTATAAAAGTTCTCTCTTAAACTATGACACAAACAGGAACCCTAAACTTAAACTCCAATGTAGCAGTCCGTCTATATCCCTAAAGAGGCCCCCACTGGCTTGTGTTATGTATTTATGCAGCCTCCTTTTTTGTTATCACAATCTGCTGTTTTACTTACATAATTTATTTCAAAACATTTGCATTTCACTCTTCAGTCAACAAAGTTCCCAAAGACGGTTACATAAAGTTAAGAACAATGGTGAACATGGACACATTCTGCTCCGTTTGCTACAGACAAGGGCTGCAAGGTGCACTGGATTCAAAAGGGGAAAAGGTGCTTCACTGTATGCATAGGAACATGCATAGCATTTGTTGGCAACTCCTTCAATCAACACCCCTTTTCCTAGGATTTCTTGCAGGATGCCAGGAAAAGAAACTCTAGCTTTAAGGAACTGCTTCCACACACTGCAGAGCTCCGTTTCCCCTTCACATGCAAAGTACTGCATAACATCCATGTAGCTATTATGACTGGTATTTCTTCTTTTTATTTCCTGTAAGAGTTTCCAGAGTTCTATGTACTTCTTTAACAATTTATTTTTTAAACATCCCCACCCCTATTTCTCTCCCAGCTTCATGCGAATCAACACATTCAGACAACAATAAATGATGGGTTCTGTATCTATGACTTGTTGAATAAATTATAATTGGCTGGATCATAATGCAGTAAATGAAAAATTCAACCACCTTATGGCTTAAGGTGATGTGGAAACCTACAATTGACTCCTGTTTTCAGGGTTGGAGTGATCATAGGTAGTCTGAGCGCTGCCTATCTTGTCTGAAAGGGTAAACCTTTTCCACCATGTTAGTGACAAAGCAGGGCATCTCTTTTTTGCCCTTATATTTAGGTCCTTTTGCTTCAGAATGAAAGGCAACCTTCCAATTAATCCATGTCATTAGACTGGTGACCTCCAGTTTTCGCTCATTTCCATCAAGCAGCTCCAGTAACGCCCTGAGGAACATGGATTCCCATTGATTGCAGAACGAAGCATAGCCTGAGCGATCGAGAGAGAGACAGAGAGAGAGAGAGAGAGATGAGATGTCTACCAGTGGGACTTTTCTGCACCAAGCAAACATGTTAGAGTGCTCTAGTAAACCTGGGCACACATCTCCTGCCAGTATGTGCTGGTATTTCAGAGAGACAGGAAAGGCTAAAGTGTACATTAGGTGGAAAATTAGTTCCTGTGCAAATATGGCCCTTTGCTGTGGCCAAAATTATAGAGGCCCATTGCATTTATACCTTGTAGGCTTTGCACGTGTTTGAAAGCACCTTCGAGAGTCATCCAACCATTGTTGAGCCAAAACAATAATGACGTGGACAAGCTTTGTATCACTTTCACCATGGCTGGGTGAAATGATGAACATGCTATAAATCGTAAGCGTGGAAATGACCATTGTTCTGTTTGTGGTGAAAGGATTGCAAAGACTCTCCTGAAAATCAAAGAATAGACTGGCAGCTTCCTAAAGTATAGGGCTTCTCTGTAAAGAACAGCTAGTAAATGTTATTAGGATACCATCCTTCCTGATTCTTCCTTTCTCATTTCATCATGAGAACAAGATCTGCCCAACACAGGGAATGATGGGGAAAATCTGGAATAGAAGGGTTGCTTCTGAAATTCCAGATTTTCACTGTCCAGACAGATTGCTCCTGTCCTTTCACAAAGTACCCATTCAAGCTATTGCATACATTTTTGCTGATTTCTCTCCTCTCCGACTGTAGCACTGAATGGCCCTAAGCACCCACAGTTACATTAGATTGCAGGTTGTGATGGATTGGCCTCTCTATAATGATGATGTTCCTCTTGGCCAAGTGCCCTTATTAACGCTCACAAGCAAACCAGCTGTTCTCTGGCTGTATTGTTGGATTTCTTCAAACTCCAAAATGGGTAATTCTACACAATCGTGGGCACTTGTTTTGATGTATCTGCTGACCTTTGCTGCAAAATTGACCTGGGCCAGGTTTAGGTGGTTAGGTTTACATACCTGGACTGCAAGAAAACATGACAGCGGTATTTTCAGGAATGGAGAGGTAATGTGAGAAACAGTCTACTGCTGGCGCGCTGCTGTCTGTTTCTAGGTAGATCCCGTCATCAGTTCTGTCTCCGCGGCACGCCTGCAAAACACATTGAAGGGAACAGCTGCTAAATAGCCTTTATGCACAGCCCTTTGTTTGCTGGATCCACACCCTCAGGAACTGAATTCAGACTTCCTTGTGACTTATTCTAGAGCACAAACTGTAGTAACAGGTGACTCCTTTGCCATTCTCATCTGAACGGGCTAAACTGAAGGAAGGAGGTTAACTGTTAGTTTGCACTGAACGTGCGTGCTTTTTTAAATAAATGAAATAGCATCAGCTGGAGGGCTGGGGAATGATGGGGCTTGCACAGGCAATAAAGAGGGATTTCGCCCCTTTCTCCCTGGCACAGATTCACAAAACTTGCATTTGCCTTTGGAGGAAATTTCAGTACAACTGTGAGTCAAATCCGGATCTCTCCACCTCTGAGGCGGTTATAATGATTCCAGGAAATGCAATACAGCTAATGTAGAACAATAGTTTTGCTGATGATGCCTAAGGAGAAGTAGAAATACTTTTCCTTTACCTTTTGACACCAGAGTCATGCAAGTGTATTAGATTTGGCATCAAATACATTGTTATTTGCTGAATGAGTATTGTTTTTTTAAGACTACACTGCTAATGTACATATTGTGGAAGGCAAGCCCTGTTGGCAAACCCAGAAGTCCTGCAATGTCTTTGTGTCTGTGGAGAGAATTGCCAGCTTTTGGTTGCATAACTTGGAAATTCTTCTTGGGGATTCTCAGAGTGACTGTCTGGGGTCATGACGACAGAGTTTTCTAGTATCTATTAATCTCGAATAAATACAAACAGAAGACAAGTGCAAAGGAAGACATCATAGTGGTCTTGAAATTCCTGCAAGGCTGCCTTCAGCTCAGTCCTCGGAAACATAGTGAGGGATGTGCTTCTCACTTTCATATGTCCAGGTAGCTGGGAAGCCCATAGCAGAGTTCCTCAACCTCAGTTGAGATGGGTGTTTAAGATGGGTGGTCCCCATGCTGGCTGGGGAATCCTGGGACTTGAAGTCCACCCATCTTAAAGTTGCTAAGGTTGAGGAACCCTGGCCTATAGGATAAAAAGGACTGACTGAAGTTCCCATTCATCACTGCTGCTGTTTGGAGACTGACGTTGGAAGCCCACAGCTCCTACCTGTATGAAGAAGATTTTAGGCTTTCCTGCCAAATGTGGACATCTTTCACGTGATAAAATCTTAAAAATGCGAGTTAGCTGTACTGCTTGTCCTTTGCAGTCTATTATGTTCCCTTCTTCTCCATGGCTTGAAAGGATGCTTACAAAATAATCCCCATGCTCTGCTTGGCTTTCTGCAAAGACACAATTTAAGGGAAGGGTAACTATTGAGGTGGCTTGTTTTGAAGTGTCTCATGATCCAAATTTAGAGCTTGCCTCTCAATAAAATATACAAGGTGACTCCTAATCCATCCTGAAGCACACACTTGTTGAGGACCAAATGAAAAGTAAAAGTAGGGTAAGGTTCAAGTCTACTCTCAGCTATAGAAAGTCCGTAGGGGATTTTGGGCCTGTTGTTCTCAGCCCAACCTATGTCACATGGTTATTGTGGGGAAAAACTGGAAGAGAGAAGGTGATATATGCTGCCTTGAGTTCCTGGAAATGGGAAATAAATCCAGTTCATTAAACAATGACAACTTATCTATCAATGCAAACCCACAATGGCTATATTCACACAACAGTCTAATTGTTTCATATACATAACATTCTAGGCTTGGTTAGTTTTCAGCTTGATTAGAAGTGTATGTTTGTAAACATAGACCACACTAAGTTTATGCTTCAGTGTATTGTGTAAAGGGAATGGGAAATTTAGTAAGCAAGTCAAATGTGGAGTCTAATCATATCCTGTGTTTTCAGGAATATATCTTGCATCTGTTTCACCTGATCTCCTCTGCTCTCTGCTCATTTACATGCTGCATAGTCCCAGCCACAAGACCACTGGAACCATGCTTCCTTTGTGTAACTTGTTTTAAGTTCAGAAGATAGGTCACCACAGCTTAGGCCTGCTCCCCTGATGATGTTGCTAGAAAACTCTTGAGTTCTTCTTTGAGGATCATGCCTCCAATCTATCAGCCAGATTCCCATCAGTCAGCCTTGCATTTCCACACCCATATGTATCTCTAAAGCAGCAGGGCACTCACAGCTGGCAGACTGAATTCAGCAGGAGCTCTTGTTAGAGGATGTGCTCCAGAGCATATGCAAAATTCTCAAAGAATACTGAGTAACTAAGTAGCAGAAACTCCCATTAAAAAGAATAAAGCACTCAGAATATAGCTGTTCTTGGATGTAGAGCCTGGGCTTAGCAGACTTCATTATATTTGAAGTGAAAGATAGATTTCTTATGAAATACATCTACTTACACCACATCTTGAAGGGAAGCATAACAGAGAGAGAGAGAGAAAAAAGATAATTTATTTTTGTTTTTTAAACACAGAGACTCAATTAACAAGAGGCCAAGTGAGAAACAGAAATAGGGACAGCTTTGAATGCCCTTCAACTTCTCATTGCCCAAGATTTTGCTCATAGGTGCACAGAGATGACATGATCTGCAACAGAAACATGTTAGAGATGTAAAGGGACCATTGCACCCTTTCCCATTAAGAGATCTGCAGTGCCATTGCAACTAACTAGTATCCCTAACCCATGCCTGCTCAGCAACAACTTGTATCTTTCCAGGCACTCTTCTACTGTTAAATATCTCTCACTGATAGGAACAGTCTCTTAATGTTTGGCCAAAAGTTACAGCCTCCAGATGTCCATCCAGGCCAGGCCTGCCCTCCAGAGCAAGGGACATCCATAGAGGGGATCAAAAGAATCCAGATGGTGGGCAAGACTATGCAATTCAAGCCCTACCCCTTTTTAATGTGTGTCACGTGTTTCACTCACATGAAAAACAGGCAGGGCTTTGATCACACTATTATGCCTTCCATCTGGACCCTTTGGACCCCCCACCCCACTCCCTGGATGCCCCTTGGGTCAGACATTTCTGATGAGCAGTAGAACAAAATTTTGGAGGTTCTCCCTCCAGCCTTCCAACAATTCCATGGAAGACTTTAAGGCACGTCTTTCTGAGGATCTTAGTTGCCCTCCATTCAATCCAAACATACCTTTCTCATAAACGTCTTCTATTTCTTTGGCTGTCAAGTCCAGAAACAATTTCACATCATAATTGCAGTTGGAAAGCGCTTTAAAAAGCTTGTTTGCTTCCCTCTTGGCCCCCTCTCGTGATATAAGTCTTTCTTCGGCTTGATAGAACTGATAATTGACAATGATTACAGCTCTGTTCCTTCGGGGGCCAGCCATGCTGAGAGATCTCTTGATGGTAGACTGTCTAAGAGATTGTGTGCGTGCACAGATATAGGACTGCACGTGCCCTTCTGAACTCTCATGATTCAGCTGGGGTGTGGAGCGGTAAATGAAAATCCATACCCGGATTGATCTGACAGATAGCAGTACAAACATTGATCCTTCTCAGGCACACAGACCATATGTGAAATGAGTCACAAGGCAGTTTCATTTTCTGATGTACTTTTCTCTACAGCGTAATACTATACTGAAATGAGTCTTCCAATTTGGAAAGTCCATTGCAGTTAGTGACACAGATATTCAAAAAAATAAGAGTTTTAAATCATTGTTTTAAATGGCATTTAAAATAAATGCAGTGAGTTAAGATGCACCTGTTTTTCTCTCTCCTCTCGCCATAGTGATTTCCTGTTACTGTCCACGTCTGTCCACAACTCTCTAGCCCCTCCCTTCCTCCCTTCCTTTGTCATTCATTCATTCATTCATTCATTCATTCATTCATTCATTCATTCTAAAAAAGATCAGAGATTGGGGAAAGTCCATCAGTGAGATTTCCTCATGAAGTCTTCCTTTCACAGAAGTGGGCTTGCTTTGTTTTATTAATAAAGTGAAAATACAAAAGGTTGCAGCCCCAGACATTTTTGCCCCCAAGAGAAGAAAATAATTTAAATTATTTTTAAGTTGAGGTTTCACTTTAAGCTGGATTGCTATGCCTTGGGAATAGTTTAGCTAAAGTCTGGGAGTTAGTCTGTTAGAATTAGCAAATGAATTTGTCTTCCAACAGTGAATCCGAGTAGAGGATAGATATTTATAAATCAGAGTCACTCTGAAGTGAGATGGGTGGTGACAAATTTGAAATATAAATAAATAAATATTATGCTGTTTTATTTTCTCATGTACAATCATTTGAATGCAGGATCCTGTCCAGACACTACTAATGCCTCTTTTTTTTCTTTGTAATTTTCTTTGCATGTACTGACTGTTCATTTTCTTTCATGTTTATCTGTCTTAGAGGTCTGTTCATAGATCAACAACACATCAAGGCTTTAAATAGAAAAATGCATCTTCCTTCTTGCATCTCAGACCAGTTTATGTTCTTCAGGCTGGGTGCATCCACTGCACTAAACCATATTTTTTTATTTTTAAAATAATGTTTTTGTTAAAAATTTTACAAAGTAGATAAAAACTAACACAAACTAATAAAGAGTAGAAACAGTAAAGAAGAAAGGCAAGGAGAGCGAGAAAAAGCAGAAGTGCAGAAAAAAAGAAAAAAAATAGAAGCCTCCTATTACCTTTGCAGCAAATATAAATGTGATTGCAAAATTATCTCTTACCCTATGATTACAAAAAACCTCATTTTTCTATTATCCATTTTTTCTAATCATCAAAACCACAAATCATAACTGCATTTTTTTCCTGTTTCATGCAAAAAGTCTATAAGAGGTTTCCAGTCAACCATAAACGTAGAAAGTGTTTTTTCTGTGATCAAAGAAGTTAATTTAGCCACCTCCGCAAGTTCCATCATCTTCACCAACCAATCCTCTGCTGTAGGCAGGGTCGAACCTTTCCACTTTGGGGCATATAATAGTCTTGCTGCACTTGTCAGATATAGAAACAAAATTCCATGACTTTTTTCTAATTGCTTGTCCGTTAGTCCCAAAAGAAAAGTCTTTGGTCTCAGTTGTACTTTAACCTCTAAAAACTTCTGAATTAATGCGTGTATTTGTATCCAGGCATCCAATCAGCTGTTTCCAGGCGGAAGACCTCCGGATCTCCAGCAACGGCCACTTCAGGGCAAACAGGAACTCTTCCAGACGCGTTGGAAGACACCTGGCTGAAGACGGATCCAGGGGATCAAAACCATCAGATTCTGCTTTCAGACGCAGCGCATACCCGAAACTAAACCTCCAGTGGGGCTTATTAGGGCGAGGTTCGGACTCAAGCAACGGGGGTCACTACGGTGCAAGCCCGCTTTCAGGCTCAGGCGCGCTCCCCGCAAGCCCTTGCTTCGCTTCATCCTCCCTCTTCGAACGGTCCCCTGCCACGCGGCGGAGCGAGCGCCACGCTCGGAGCGCGCCTCCCTGCCCGGGCTAAGATCGGACTACACTTCCCGGCATGCAAAGCGGCGCGCCTGCGCGGTTTGCTCCTGTGGGCGTCACGAACGGGGGAGGGAATATTAGCAACCGAATCCAGATTGGAGGAAAAACGGCGGAGTTAAAACCCGGTTTCGGTCCAGCGGCTCAGGAATGACACCTCCGTGGGTGCGTGAGGAGGGGGAGAGAGGCAGCAGGGAGCTCTGGGGAGACCCCTGGGAAGAGCAGAGGGATTGGGAATTTGAGAACCTGTTGACACGTGTCTGCAGATGCGTGCATGGGGAGGAAGCGGGCCCGGGCAGCTGGCAGGTGTGGCGCGAAGACTTAGGCTTCGGAGTTAGTGAGTTGGGGGCCCACAGCGCAGGGGGGTTATTGAGAGGGGGCAGAAAGGAAGCCCCTCTGGGACAGGAGGTTGTGGGAACGGTGTTTTTATTTTGGGGGGGGGTTCTGTCGTGAAGGAGGCTTTGTAGAGGAGCTATAAAAGGTGAGTCTTTTTTCAAAAAATAATTGTGCATCTAGAGAGGGAGGTGGGAGGGTTCATGTGGGAGGCCGCCCTCGCTGGACGGGGAGAGCCTTTTCTCTCCCTGGAAAGCCGCCTCCACCAGTGGCCCAGCTCTGTCCCCAGCAGCAGGTCGTCCGTCCTTGGAGGAAGGCACGCATTCGCCCCTCGCTCCTTTTTCCCTTTTCATCCCCTTCCTCCTGGCCTGCCTTGTGGGGTCCGTAATCCCACCGCAAACTTCCAGGCTGTGGCTTAGACGCGCCGCAACTCAGAGGACGCTCCAGCAACCTCGAAGGGTCTCCCGAGCCAGTTGTGGAGTCCCCTCTTCGGACTTGCTCGGCAGCCCGTCTGCTCCCAGCCAGAGCAGTTTGACATTCGTGGAAAGCTGCAGCTGCTCGATTTTTGCAAAAAAGCCCAAAGAGTAATCAAATGAGATATGCATGTCCAAACTGGAACTTGGGGCCAGCTGTTTTTGGCCCATACCCTTGTGAAAAGGGCACGGAGCCTGAGAGGGGAAGAAAGCTGGCGAGCCTCGTGTTGGAGGGACTATGGAATATTCCATATTAGTTGGAAGGGAATATGGAGTGGATACGCAGATTTGCTTCGTGGTAATTCTGGAATCATACCTTCCGTGATTATGGGGAAGAAAATGATGATGTTCAGTTGCAGTCAGGCAATTCTGTGCACCATGTAGCTGAGTTTTCTGTTCCTTTGCAGAAGCAGAAGTGCCTCTGGGGTTGGAGGAATGATCATGCACTCCCTGGTGACTCTGATTTCATTGTTTCCATTAGGGTATGAACCAGTGCAGCATAAACAACTGCCAGCATGAAAAACAAACAGTTACCTATCCAGTTTACAAAGCGGTGCATGTGAGTATCCTGGTCACTAATTTCTAACTTGGCTTTCGTCAAATTAGCCCTACTGGCTAGGTTCATTGGCATTATAGCCGATTGCAGCTGGAGAACACAAGTTTAGGAAATAACATTATTGGGAAACACCCCCATTACCAGAACCAACTTGTACTCAGGACCTCTATTTTCTTAGGATTTAACCACTTTATGGACCTGTACATGGACCTTTTAAAAATCTAGATACCGTGCAACTCTGACACAGTTTTCTCTTGCTCAGATGACAAGAAGAAATAGAACTAAGGGTCATCCCATAATGTTATTTCAATCATACCGACCTCTCTTTGGGTCATAGCGTGGCTCTTCCCACCTATGAGAGATGCTCCCCTTTGGGTCTTATGGAGGTGGAAAAAGAGTGCCATTCCACACCCCTCCTGGTTTAGAAAACACTAAGAAACTCAGGAGTCAGTTACTAAATCTGAAACTGACTCTTTTGTTCAATGTAACATGGAGAGAAGGGAAATATACTTTTTTTTTTTTTTTGGCCTGCATGTTCCCATGTAAAAGAGGAAACTGTTCTATTTCCTTTCCCTGGGATATGGATATTAGGATGCTAGGGACTTGAACCAACCAGCTCCCATTTCTTCACCCGTATCTCCGGTTTTTAATCCCCATGACGGAAACATAATCTTATCAGGTTTATGCTTTTATTTGTTGTAAACAATATTTTAATATGACAGTGCATATCTTTACACGTAGTTTGGGGTTCCCTATATAGAAGCCCCTGCTGAATTTTTGAGGGTCTCTGGTTTGGTTCCAGAGGTGAGTGCTCCTGAGGCTGAGCCGAGACTGGCTTAGCTAAAACTGCCTGATAACTTGATAGCCAGGACAAGGGAACTATTTGCCTATTATGTGTTATGCTAACTCAGTTCATGTTGTAGTTTATAGTTTAGTTTGTTGGGTAAAGCCAGAAAATCAGGTTAATTGAGTAAACTGTAGTTGTGTTAACCATGGATTAAGCAAGTTGGGTAGTGATAGTAACTGTTAAGCAGATTAATCTGATTAACAGTAGTTCTTCCAGGGCTACCTTGGAGGTTTTAGTTCTTACTAAAAACGTGCATCTGAAATAAAAGGATGGGATGTTACCAGCTCTAAAGCAGTGGCTGGCAGCAGTTTTATGAAGTCACTTTGTGAGATATTGGCCTTGAAAAGGCCTTGCAAATAAGTTATGAAAAGGCTGCCCATGGGTTCAGGTCCTGCTTTGCATTCTGAGAATCCCCACCTCTCTCTGTCTCTCTTTAGATTTCGGCATTGAAGCAGAATGGACTGCTGCAGTCTCTATCAGCAGCACCCGGTGGATTTAAAGAATCAGGTAAAGACCCAATAGATTTAATTTAATTTAATTTGTTCAGTTTAGGCACTGTCCAAATTGACTCTAGGTGGTATATAATAAAAGCAAACAAAGTAGAAAATTAATATAATAAAGGTATAGAAAGAAAAGGAATAAAGAACAGGAATGGATGGTGAGTGTGGCTAAGAACACCCACATGCCCAAACATATCCGACAGGAGCCCCAACCACCCTAAAATGCAAGGTCCAGGTTGAAGAGCCAGGTCCTTGTTGGAATGCCAACAGAGTGGGAGCCCCATGGATATCAGGGAGAATTTAAGCAACTGCCTGTTGGATTCTGTTGCATTTTTGATGATGTGAAATACTGAAGAGCAGGGCCTTGCAAAACATTTCAAAGTTGAATCATTTCAGTTTCAAAATGGCTTGTTCTGACCTTACTGGAAGCATTTGGGTGTGATTCTGTTTGTGAATTGAACTTCAAACATCACCGTTTCAAGCTTGAAACCTTTTTGTACTCTACTTCTAAGGAACTGTGGCCTCATTCCTTCAGCAGCAGAAGCATAACACCTTTGAAGTCACTGAGAAGACTGTTTTAGGTCTCCTAGAAATTTAAGTAGCTTCATCTGCTTCTCATTTGTAACTGTGTCGGGAGTCAGATGCGTCTTTAAATTCTGCATGCAAGTCAGTAAAGGTTGAATTGCATTTAGCTGACAGGCAGAGTTATGGTTTTTATGGGATTCTTAAAAATGACATTAATTCATTATAGAGGAGTGGGCCCTTGTGGTGCTCCAGGCATGGTTCAAAAAAGCCTAACATCCTTCTCTGTTGACCACACTGGCTCGAATTGCTTGGGGATTGAGTTTCAGCAGTAGTGGAGGGCCCCAAGGTGCCCATCTTTGCTCTTGATGAATGCATATTGAATAAGAAGCAGAGTATGGGTGAATTGGATCTCTTGCATTGCTCCTCCTGGAAGGGCAACCAGTGTTGGTATAAGGGTTTCTGCTGTTACCTTGCTGCCTGAAATATCGTCTTTGATGACTGCATACAATTGTCCAGGATAATATATATGCAAAATGGCAGCTTCTGGTCTTTGCAGGGAAGATGTGAACCAAGAGCCTTGACAGTCAGTAGGCAATACCTGGTACCATAATTACTGTTCTTTACAGTCCTTGAATCTACTTGGCCATAATTGCAGGCTTTCTTCTTTACTTTTACATGGGGTGGGACATATCTGGACTTGACTTGGCAATCTTGATAAATCCATTAAAAGTAGAAGTAATAGAATACTTTTAAAAAGTAGAGAAAAGACTCTTTGTTTCCTCTCAGATATTTTTAGGAATATAAACCTAAGTGTTTTACCTTGTTCATCACCCCAAAAAGGATTGATTGATTGATTGATTATTTATTTATTTATGGTGTTTGGAAACTTACATTTTAGCTGGCCTCAGGGCTGAAGGGAACATGGCCAGTGATGTGATGTCAGAATATGTAGGAGTGAAATTATCTGTCCTGTTTTTGTTTTTTAACGAGCAGGGAATTTTTTTTTTTTTTTGCAAAACAACTATTTTCTTGGTTTTCTATTGCAAAAACAAGTAAGAAATGGTGCTATAGAATATGAAATTTTGCCATGAATTTTGGAGAGGCATTTTGAGAGTGCTTTGGCAGTTGTGAAAATTGGGGGAAGGGCTGTATGTGGCTGGACTGTAGATTGTCCATCTCTGATATATAAAAGTTTGAAGTCAAGTGCCTGAAATCGACCTTTTCACAGTCAGTATCATTTTCACCTGTCAGTCTCAGATGCATTCTATTAAAAACCATCTTTGCAGTGTCTCATTTAGAAGAATAAAATGGACTTCCGGAGTTGCTCTGTTATGCCTGGAGGGTAATCATGCATAGAGATTTTTTTTTTAAAAAATGAAATTATCTTTCAGACCTCTTAAATGAGCTCCTTTGGAAGCGATTCTTGAGCTTGTTGCTCTGATCTGTCATCCTGTTCTGTCTTGCTAGATGTTACAGAAGAGGTGCTACGAGTCCGGGAAGAATGGGACGCCGTAGCAAACATCCATCCGGGAGGTATGGAAACAACTACAGAATAATTTTTCTCCATGTTGGGACCAAGTAAATTTTGGGGATACAGATATCCATTAAGAAATACAAATCAAAAAGCAGGAAGCATATCTAAGATTAGCAGTGTACCAGTGACGGATATGGTGCAGTCTGGAAATTCCTGAGTGAATGAACAACCATGTCAATTAATATCTTGATTACGTTTAAATGAACTGCTCCTTGCTGGTGTGCTTTGGGCTGTGAGAAAGAAAAGAAAGAAATGTTTGAATAGTTTTAATACATTGCCTTGATTGCTAAACTTTTCTCACAATATTGTGAGATGCTTTGTTCTTCCACTGGAAGGAGCAGTGGTGTCAAAATCAAAATACTCTTTTTTGCTTGCAGGAACTGTGGAGAAACCTCTTAGCCCAATACCCTTGATCTCTTTCAACGAAGCACTGCAGTATTTTCAAACAGCAGACCTCTCTGACTGTAGGGTAGGTATGCACCATCTAGGATGGATGTAGCAGTCCTATTGCTTAAATATTTTAGGGCAGTGTTGTCCAAACCCGGCCACTTTAAGATGAGTGGACTTCAACTCCCAGAATTCCCCAGCCATGGCTGGCTGGGGGATTCCATGGCTGG